TGTGACGGTCAAATGTCTGGCTGCTTTAGAGGCGGTAGAGAAAGAAATGCAGATAGAAGGGACTTACTGAGTAGGAACACTCCAAACACTCGAGAAAGATTAAATACTTTGAAGGATATTAAATTGGAGAATTATGAAATTCACTGCAGAAAGATGTTTTAATAGCTGCAGAAACAAAAATATTTTATGACCGAAAAAAAAATCCTCAAATGTAGGATTATACAAAGGAGAGAATTAGGTTACATTCTTTCATTTAATCCATTTCACAAGCACTACCATTTTTGTGGCTAGTTATAACAAGTGCTCCTTTGTGTGCTTTGATGGATTATCAGCTCATTATCATCAATGTTAGGGATCCTATGAGATTTCAATTATCAGTAACATTTTCAATTTGTAAGATGTCAGATCTGCTTGAAATAGTGTAGAAGTACTTTATTCAGCATGGTATTAAGTTAAGCTATGTTTGTACTCATTCATTTTTCCTGGAAATTTGTCCCTGTGTACTGTTTGTTTGATACCCTCTGATTAAACAGAAATTGTTATTCTGAGGAAATTCTAACACTGGTACTGAAAAAGTACTTTTACTCTATGTTAGAAGATTTCAAAGGTAAATTTTAATATATTTTTTTTTTTTGCATAGAAAATTTTTATTTCAAAATTTGTGAATTTTACAATTTTCCGTCCACTTTGAGTTGTAGTTAAAAAACTAGATAATAAAAAAAAATGAATGAATTACATATCCATAGATTACATGAATTTATTTAATTTATTTCATTTGAAGATGATAGTACATGTATATTTATGATGTATGCAGATTGTAATGTTTTTTATGCTTGAATGTGTATGAGGTTTTTAACTTAAAAAAAGACTGATGATTTCAATTGGTTTATTTTATGTGACCTCAGACTGCAAAACTGTGATATGATATACATTGATACTGTACATGTAGAAATTAAGAGATTTTAGCTAAGAATACTGAGGTCTTATTAAGCTAGAATATTCCATATTATACCTCTTTTATTAGAAATAAAATGTGGAAAACAGCATGAAACATGTTATGTATGTTTTATCATTATTTTGAAAATGGCCTTACCTGCATTGAACAATAAATAAATGCGATCATCATATTTATTTAAAGCAAGCACTGATATAAAAGTGTAAAATGCATCAAATTAAAAAAAAGGGGGACAAAATTGCAGTGCAGAGAGTACTAGGAGTAAGAGCCTCAGTTAATGTGAATAAGTTCCCTACTCTATGGAAGGGAATTACCGCCAAAAGTCTATGTATCTTGCTTTTATTCTTATTATGCCTACTTCTTTATGCTTTGTTATTATTGTAATCATATGTCACTTTATTGTTTTCATATTCGTCTTTATTACATTTCACTTTGACTTTTATCCTTCTTCATTTCGTCCTTACTTCTATGTTTCTTTATTCTTGTTAAGTCATTTTATTTTCTTTTAAATTGATACAGTATCTTAAATGATTATCTCTATTACGAACGTTAACTCAATCATGCAAACAATGAAGCATATTCAATGAAGACGAATACGAGTTGTCCTAATTTAGTGCCGCATTATAACGCTAGGTGGCAGGGGTGTTCGCTAAGAGTGTTGGTAAAATTAGGTAAGCAAACCGGGCCGGGGTTATTCGAGTTTTTTTTCCAATTTTCTGTCTTAATACTTTATCAATCGAACTTAAATTTTCAAATGAATGATGTTTGTTATTAGTTCAGGTATGTACCCGATACATGCCATTCCCTCGGAAGTCTCGCTAGATGGTAAGATTTCCCCTGGAAGACTGACTACATAGTGATGCTTCCTTCGGAAGACTATACAGTGGGACTTCCCCCGGGGTATAGCTAGTCTTCCGTGGGAAATCTCGCTATATATAGCAATTCGCCCCCACTTCATAGCAACCCCTCCCCCGAATATTTTTTTTAATCGTAAAACGATGTTTATATATACGAACGTTTTCAGTTTTTGAAGAAAAGTTATCCGCCCTATACACATGATACATGTATGAATAAATATTTAAATAATATCATTTTAAAAGTGCTTTATAATTAAATCATTTTAACCAATAGTTAAACATAGATAATCTTCACGAGAACAACGAGCACATATGGATAATGAACCCCCCCCCCCCCCCCCCCGCCTCCCCCTGGGTTAAGTCGCCCGTGGCACTGTGGTTACGGCGTCTAGAGTCACGAAGTACAGTAGTAAGGAGTCGATCAATACGTCGTGGGTAAGAATCCCACTGAAGGACGTGGAGTTCAATCCATCGGGTGAGATCTAGACCTTGTTATCCGAGGTCCCGTGTCGCAGTAGGTGCTGGCACGAAAAAAGATCCCTCACTGCTCAATGGCTATAAGTGCCAAGTATATAGGACAAATTTGCAGCTCTCCACTGGCAAGATGTGGCTTCTCCTTTTGAGTTAAAAATTCTTGCAAGGGGCATTATACAATGTACAATCAAACCACCAAAGTCTCAATATATATACTGACTTCCGGGTGGACGACCTCCTATGGGGTAAGTTTCGCCGGTAGAGGGGTGGGTGGCCACGAAACATTTTCCTAAACGTAACTTTTTACTACTGGAAACGTTCAGCGAAAGGCTTGTTGCCCCCAACCCTTACCCTTTTTATTGCAGTACTAATAGTCAGTTTATATATTAAAAGTCATGTACTTATTTGCATGAGTAAAATTTAGTACTGAAAAAAAGATGACGACCCCTCCCCCCTCACCACCACCAAACAGAATTTTTGAGTTCTAAGAATTTTTTTTAGCTCTTCTGGCTGATCACAAATACGATGCGTACTAAAGATATAAATTCTTTCTTTATTGAAAATTAAGTGCTATTTTAATATAAAATATTAACGCTGAAAATAAGACCAGGGAGTTTCTAGTATGTCTGGATGCATGATGCCTAGTTCCTACTTCGCCTACCATGCGCGGATCTAGAGGGGGGTGGGGTGTTAGGACCCCCTGGAATTTACAAGGTTTAAAAATGTATATACTAAAGCAAGGAAAAAATGTTAAACGCTCCCTACGAAATAGGATTTTGACGTTTGGGCGAGTTTAGGTTTTTTTTATGCTCGTCAAGAAATTTCTGGGATTGGAATTTTTTTTTTTTGGACTGGGGTGGAACCCCCCCCCCCCCCCCGGAAAAAAAAATTTGGATCCGCGCCTGCCTACCCATATTAACGCTCCCCACTCCTTTGCAAAGCCATGTCCCTAGAATCACGCACATGAGCAGTTACTATCTGTCGTGAAATGAAGTTCAGTTCAGTGGAAGGTTCTGAAAAACAACCCAATTTATGAGGGTTAACTAGTATCAAAATATTGAACATTTTTATATAAATTAAACTGGAATTCAATTATCCAACAATTAACTTTAATAGAGTTATATTTTTCAGGCGAGAGAACAGTGACGTAGCATTGTACGTTTTTGAAAGTAGGGAGGGGGCAACAAGAGAATAAATGGTAAAGTACCCGGCTGAAAGCACCTTGACAAGCGCAAAAAAACCCCAGGAAATTGTCCAAACTTGAAAATACATACTAGGCGTCGGAACCGTGGAGAGGGGGGGGGGGGCTTAGCCCCCACTTTTTTTTCCAGAGATAGACTTAGTACTGCATAGGTTTAGACCACCCCCCCCCACCCTGCCATGGACACGATGCAGTATAGGTTTAAAATGGGGAAAGTGGTGTTGTATGGAAAAAAAACTTTGGCACTGGAGTTCGAACCTACCCCCCCCCCCCCACCCCAACGAAATTGAATATTTGAGTTCGGAAAATGGACATTCCTTTTCTTTTTTTCTTTTTTGCTTGTCAGATTTTTTTAAGGTCTTAAAAAATTCTTAAACTTAGCCCCCCCCCCCCCCCCCACACACTTTCAATTTGCTTCCAATGCCAATGAAATCCTATTTCGAAGGCGGGGTGAGTTTTGGGTTAGATTCAACTTCTTCTATAGAATCAAATTTAAATTTTCTTCCTACTATACGTACTACATTAACTTATTTGACCCTTACTCTTACAAAAAGTGGGTCGGCCTTTCAATGAACATATTCAGTATAGTATAAAGTTATGTCTGAAAAAAGAGGCCGCTATTCCTGTGTGCCCAGAGAAAATAAATATGAAGTTTCCATTATTGGATCGGATTATTGGATCCAGCCTTCAGAAGTTCGATTGATAATTAAAGTACTAAGGCGTATTGACCCGACCCGGGTTTGGTTACCTAGTTTTACCAACACTCGTAGCGAACACCACACCACCTAGCGTTATAATGCCGCACTAAATTTTGACGGTTTGACAACTTCCATTCGTCTTCATTGAATATGCTTCATTGTTTGCGTGATTGAATAATTTATTTAAGAAACTGTTTAAGTTTAAAAAAAAGTAGAATGAATTTACAAGAATAAAGCAACATAGAAGTAAGGACAAAATGAAGAAGGATAAAAGTCAAAGTGAAATGTAATAAAGACGAATATGAAAACAATAAAGTGACATATAATTACAATAATAACAAAGCATAAAGAAGTAGGCAGAATAAGAATAAAAGCAAGATACATAGACTTTTGGCGGTAATTCCCTTCCATACTACTATTCTATATACATTGACTCCAAGGCAGAAGTCTGTCGCCGTGAACCTATTAGCATGCTGAGTGGAGTAGGTAAGGTCACAGATTAAGAGTGAATTAATCTTATCTTAAACTTTTTACACTGATAAGTGTCAGGAAAAATTTTCCACGATTTAATGGTATAACTTGGTTACTAGCTTTTAGAGAATGCAAATATTCCAAGAGAAATGGAAGATTTTGAATTTAAGAAAGTTGCAATTACATGTTTTAATATTGTATAAGTACATAAAATAACCAAATAAAATAAACTTTAATAACTATTCAAACTATCTGTTTACTTTTTGATAGACATCTATTTTCTTTGTAACTAGCCTATCACTGGAAAGATCGTTTTCGTATATTAGCAGCCCCTAATTTATTGGAGATGGAAACACTGGGACCCCAGACGTCATGGTTTTGAAAGTTGACGTGAAGTTGGTTGTTTTAGAGGCAGATGAAGTAATAATCAGGAAAGTTAAAGACAAGCCTGGTATGTTGTGAAGACCGTAGGCCTAACTGACAGTTTTATCGGAGGCTAGGGCTCATGTGGGCCTATTTTGATACTGAGACAGACATGATTTGTTTACATTTACTACATTTGCATATTGTAAGCAAGCTGTAGGTTTTGTTGTTTAATAATTATGAAGCTTAAAATCACTAATCGTTGTATGGAAGATAGGCTAGTTGTTTTTGGAAAATGATAAGATTATTTGGGTCAAGGGTTGCACTAATAGACGCTATTTGAAAACCCAAGAATTAATGCTAATCACACCTCAACAATCCTCTTTCATTAAACCTTGCTGCAGGAATTCACATGTGATTTTATGGACCTATATACTATTATTTAATCAGGTCCAGTACAATCACTAGATTTAGCCACGTAGGTAGAATTACCTACGTAGCTTTATTTACCTACCTCAGGTAGCTTTTATTTAGCTATTTCAATTGAACTTTTCAAAATTTTTCTTTTTATTAAAAAGAGACAAAAAATCGCAATTAAAAGACAATCCAAAGCTGAGATAGTTTATACATTGCTGCATTTGGACAATTGATATAGAGCAAAACATGTAATTCCATTGTTTAGTTAACTGTCATCTCTCATGCGTGGGGTGAAACAATGGGGAATCAAATTAAGTTTTACATAGAAATATATAGGAACAATCTTTAAAAATCCAGAAAAGCTGAAACTTACGTTGAAGCATCCTGGGGTAGTGTAGATTCTAAATTGTTCTAATCATGACAGACCCCCGGGGGGTTGGGCGGGGCCACAATGTGGAATCAAAGTTTTACATAGAAATATATAGGAACAATTTTTGAAAATCTTCCTCTCAAGAACCACTGGGCCAGAAAAGCTGAAACTAAATATGTGGAAGCATCTTGGGTTAGTGTAGATTCTAAAGTATTCAAATCATGACCCCGGGGGGTAGGGCGGGGCCACAATAGGGATTCAAAGTTTTTCATAGAAATATATAGGAAAAATCTTTGAAAATCTTCTTCTCAAGAACCAATGGGCCAGAAAAGCTGAAACTTATGTGGAAGCTTCCTGGGATAGTGTAGATTCTAAATTGTCCAAATTATGACCATGCAGTGGGGTAGGGTGGAGTCACAGTATGTATTACAAGGGGGGAAATCTGGTAAAGAACACCATTGTCAAAGCTTCTCAGGTGAGCGATGTGGCCCATGGGCCACTTGTTTATAGAAATGAATTGATTTGGTAGCTAAATAAAGCTAAATCAAGCTACGTAGCTAAATCTAGTGATTGTACCAGACCTGTTAATAGTATATAAGTCTAGGTGATTTAAATTGCATCAGCCTATAATCAGGATATTATTATTAAAAATTAAGCTATTTATATCAGGCCTTTCAAAATCTGCCGGTACCCGGTACTTTTACCCGGTTGGATTCGTTCATGGTACCGGCCAAAATATTCAGTGGAGAAAAAAAATCGCGTAAAAATACGATAGGCCCTACCATGTATGGCACGCCAAATTCACAAAAATGAGATAATCATAGTTTCACAATCGATAAACTAGGTTTATCGGTTGTAAACTATAGTTTACAAACCGTAAACTATAGTTAACAACGTTAATCTATATTTCACATCTGTAAACCATAGTTAACGCGATAATCTATGTTTCACAACCGTAAACTATACTTAACACTGAAAACAATCATTTGCGATTGCAAAACATAGATTATCTGATAAATACAGTTTCACAATTTGTAAACTATAGTTTACAAACCGTTAACTATAGTTAACGATCTGATAAATATAGTTTCACGATTTGTGAAACTATGATTAACAACTCTTAACTATAGTTTACGATTGTAAACTATAGTTTACAAATGTAAATCTATGTTTATCAATAAAATCTATTGTTAACGCTTATTACAGACAGATAAACTTAGATTATCATTCGTAAACTATAGTTAACAACCGTTAAATATAGTTTTACAGATGAAAACTATACTTAACGAATCGTTAACTATACTTAACGAATCGTTAACTATAGTTTACAGTCGATAAACCTAGTTTATCAATTGTGAAACTATGATTATCTCATTTTTGTGAATTTGGCGTGCCATAACCATGTTTTACACAAGTTGTGGTTACGTAGCCTTGTATTATTCTTAGTCCGTAATGGTATCTAATAACATATTTGATTGGTTAGTCAAGAAGATCATTAAAGCGTTTGAATAAATGAAACAAAAGAGATTGCGTTACGCGTCTTATAGATCTTTTGTCGAAAACGAAAGTAGATTTCGATCCATCACTGATTTTGACAAAAGCTAATGACTATGGATATATTTTAAATAAATACGGCCTAAAAAATTAAAAATAGGAATCCAGATGTCAGAAATGAAAGTGTCAATTTAAAAGCCATGACAATGAGTTTCACAAAAGATTTTAAGATTCAAGGAACTAGACCGCGGAAAGTCATCAACACCGATAGAGAAACCGACATGAACAATAGATAGTTCTTTGACCACCTCTGTACATTATGATTTTAATAGCCTCAACTCTTCAAATTTAAGTGTCAAAATCCGCAGCTGACGATATAAATTACTTACAGTCTTAAATATCTGCAACTTTCTGATGAAACAAAAGGACATAAAACAGAAACTATTTCTTTTGCCATATATTTAATTCTTTGATTCAGCAGTTTTCTAGTGGTCAAGAGAATGACCTTGCGGACGTTTACTTTCTTCCCAGTATTGTAGCCATATCCAGTAAAGTGAGGGAGTCATATCTAAATTTTTTTTGTCTCCAGTCTTGATGTCATCTTTGTCTAATTTACACAAGTATATTATTTTATATGTACATGTACCAGTGCATGAAAAATATATGCTGAATTTATTGGTACATGCTATGCATCCTGTAGTGCTTCTACTAATTTTTTTTTAATCTGCACTTTACTGTAGAAAAAAAAATGAATTTCATTTAATGCAAATACAATTTCACTTCTCTTTTATTAAATTTAAAGTTTGAATTTCCATTTCCTTTCATGACTCGATAATTTTTTTTATATTTACGTTTTTATATTTCAAACATACCACTTACAACTCAAACCTTGCAAAATTTTTTTAACAAATTTATATTAACAAATAAAGCATAGAACTTGGAAGTTTTACCTAAATCTTATTGTTACTCCGCTCAAATAACTAATTTTTCTATGTAATTCCACCCATCCAGTGCTAAACTTCACATGTAATGTGTATTGACCAAAAAAAAAAACTTGGAAACATGGCATAAAAATAACACTGATAGCAGCATACTTCTATGTGTCCAGAAACAAGGAAATGCTGTCTGGTGGCTTCTAAATTTCAAAATTTTTCCGGGGGGGCATGCCCCCGTGCAGGCTCACGCCTTCGGCGTTCGCCGAGTGGTACCTCCTATTTTTGATAAAGTACCACCTGGTTCAAATCTTTTTGAAAGCCCTGTTATATAGACTCAAAATAATGTATATTTTTAGACCATTCATACATTTTATAGTCATATACAATAATTACTCATTTCATAGTAATATACAATTATACATACTAGGGGAAATTACATGTACATACATGTACAAATTATAAAGGGGAATTGCAACACAAAGATTATTTATGACCTTAAAGTGTGGCTTGACCTTGATCAAAGGTCATTAAGACAAGTTCAAGGTCACTGTCTTGACAATAGAAAAATTAGAAGTTCATACTTCACACAGGAATTCTTTATGAGCAGAACATGAGCCATGTATTGACTAAGATTATTTTGGTATAAGTTTATGGTCATATGCAGAGGAAGTGATGTATTTGTCAGGTCCCTTGACAACCTCCTAATGGACACTAAAAGTTTACTCTTTATACGAAGGTTACTAATGTCTAGGTTATTTGGGTAAGTTTAAGGTCATATTTGCAGAAAATGTACAGTCTACATTTATGTCTGATCTTAGTCTTGTACAAGAGAATGTACATTACACAAAAGTATTTTGTGATCTCACTCAAATATTTCCAGAACCTACAACAGTAAAGCATGCTTATAGTGAATATATGCTGATTATTATATATATAAAAGTGAAGTGATTTTCATTCCCGGTGGATTTTAAACATATTGTGAAGCTTTTATAATGATCATGTTTATTGCCTCTCATTATCACTTTTTTATAAGTGTGTTTTACGGTAATCTTTTGCCAGTGAGCATAAAGATCTGTGATTTGATTGGCTGTCAGACCTGTGAAGAACCCTCCAGTTCTCTGTCCAGTCTGTTTATGACACCCCCTAACATTGTCATCCGGTATATCTCTAGAGGGCAGCATTACAAATGGACAGCTGAGACTGTGGAGGTCATAGGGTCAAAGGAAAACTGTGAGGCACTGAAGAATGAAATCAACAATAAACTAGGTCAAGGTTAGAGGTTACATGAAATAGGATGAATATCATCATCACAGCAAATTTAAATAGTTAATTGAACATTCAATAAAAAAAACAGCATTCCCTATACATAAATTCTGCTTTTGACTCATAATTAAATGAAATGGATCGCAATCACAATCATTTTTAATTATCCAAATAAGATTTACATTAAATGTAGATTTGAATGCAGTGTTACTGTAATGTTTCTGTAGAAAAGGAAAGGCCCAAGAAATTGGCAGTCTTTATCAATCCAATTGGAGGGAGCCAGACTTCTATGAGTGTTTACAGCAAGGTTGTCACCCCTTTATTTAAAGCTGCAAACATCACTTGTGATGTCATGGGTAAGCATGTCTTCTGAGTTATAATATGTTTCAACAGCTGATGAAATCCTTCAGTGTTTCATTTCTAAAAGAAATTCCCTGTATACATGAAAAATGATTGAGCATTAATACTTCACAGAAATTTAAAAAAAAAATCATATACTATAAATCACTTAATTTGTTAGAACTTTATTTTCACATAATTACACGTGGCAATATTCTATATAATATAATTCTTGCGTATAATAGTATTCTTAAAGATTATGTAGAGCAGCATAATTTGTGAAAATGTTGTTTCCCTATTAATAAAGAGTAAATGTCTACCTCACGAACATAGGGTGTCACTATAATTTAGTGATATACAGTATCTTATTTGTTCACTCTTCAGTTTCTGAGAGACCAAAACATATGATTGATCTGGTGAGTGGTTTTGACACAGCTAGTGTAGATGGGTAAGTAACGCTGTTTTCTTCTTAAATTTAGAAGGTGTGTATCACTGTGTACACTTTGTAAAGAGATATCAAGGGATATTTAATAGGTTTATAATGTACATGAAGATTGTACATGTAATTATTTTAGCCATGCAGATATTTCAAAAGTAAAACATTTTTGGAAAAAAAAATCATATGTATTATTTTCATTATCTCACCTGAGCTGAATGGTCAAGTGAGCTTTATTGATCTAAATTTGTCCATTGTCTGTTGTCATCATGAACTTTCCACATTTTCATCTCCAGAACAAATGACTGCAGGGGGTATGGTGGGGCCACTATAGGAGAACAAATGTTTACAAAGGAATATATATGTACATAGGGAAAATATCTTTAAAAGTCTTCTCCTCAAGAAGAGCAAACTCATTATAAGTCATATTAGAGAGGTTGAGATCTTTTACTTGTATATTTGTGCATGTACTTAGACATACACATTTTTGTAATATGTCGGTTGAGATTTTTTACGACATGTAACATGTTTGTGTACTCTGCGATCAGTGTCTCTGTTTCAACTACTGGTAGTTAGAAGTTTTGTGACATCAATTAATTTAGTTAGTATAAAACAAGGTTAAAATAAGTGCTTTAGGAAACTAAACATTGTAAATAATGTAAAACAACCACATTTTTAGACATAAAATTTAAATTTTTATTTTACAGGCTTCAAGTTTTCACTTACAATACATGTAGATGCCATTCAACTGTGAAGTTCTAAGGACGTGAAGAAAATTTTTCATCACTAAAATTGATGATGTAATACATTAGGAATTTAGAGAATTCCCCTACTAAATGTACCCGTATACGTATGAAATCTCGAATTCTCTATTGATTTGATTTGAACATATTTTATTATGTAACAAATACGTAAATGGATCTCTATATAAGATGTTGTGTAGATTCAAATTATTTCAAATCATGACCCTTGAGGGGTGGACAGGACCATAATAAGAGATCAACATTTTATATTAGGAAGAATCTTGAAAATTGTTCCTCTTATGAACAGCAAAGTCACAATCATTAATACTGATATGCAAACATTCTCAGGTAATTTAGATTCAAGTTGTTCAGATCAGAGCCCTCAGGAACATAGGTTTAACCTACCACAGAGAATCAGTCCTTTAGCAAGAAATCTTTTCAATAGGGGCAAGATGACACTAAATCATTTTAAAAAGCAAAACATACCAAAGACTGGTAAGCATTGTGGCCCATGAAACTGTTGTTCATGTAAACTTACTCCTAAAAAGAAAACAGTTTTTAAGGCCAGGGGCCTGACTCCCATGTTAGGTAACAATTCCTCATTTCATAAAAAAGATGTGTGAGGACAATTATTTAGAGTGGAATCACCACATTCAAATGTTGGAATTCTGGATGAAACAGCGACATGTATCCTCAGTTTAACTTTTCTTTATTTTAAATATTCCTGCATGTGAGCATGTTATATACTTGCAGGAGGATATTTTTTGTCCTGTTTGTGTTTCTTTGCAATGAGTTACCAAACAAATAGTGGATTTTGTTTTAGATTGGTTGTAGTTGGTGGTGATGGAACATTACTTGAGATTTTGAATTGTCTTCTGACAAGAGTTCAAAAAGAGGCTGGATTGGATTACGACCAGCCATCCTGTAAACTGAAACCATTGGAGGTGCCAATAGGAATCATCCCAACAGGTAACCATGGAGAATGAAGAAATATTTTGATACACTGTATTACTAACAGTTTTACACAAATAAAAAATATTTCACATCTGCATAAAGCGATACTGTTTGTGTACCTAAAAAAAAGCAGGCTTCATACTTTAGCAGCTTTTGCGCAAACAACAATGCACTAATTCATGACTACAACTAAGATCCCATTTATAAATACAATATACAGAGCAGAAGTGTGTAGCGCAAATTCATGAATATGCCAATAACTCTATACCAAGTGATTGCGCTAAATTTTGAATATGCCAATCTATGTACATGTACAGTACCTTCTGTAAAAAGTAAGTGCCTAGTGCTAGAAATAAACACACAAATCCCAGGTAGTAGACGTATGCAGAAGAGATTTATCTCTCCAACATTGACTGAATTGAATTTTTTTTTTTTTTTTACATTTGTTCCCACGGTATAATTCAATTCTTGGTTACCTTTGTATTACAGGGACTGGTAATGGAGCTGCTACTGGCCTGTACGGTAATAATGATGTTGTCACCGCTGTTCTACACATCATCAGAGGTCAGTTATTTAGGTCAAAGATGTAAGGGAATATATATTTATATAGATGTAGCCTATATTGTGATAAGGAAAGTGAATGGTAAATGTAATGAATACATTAACACAGCTGCTATTTACACAAATACACATTTTTTTACTCCTTGATTATTAAAATAAAGTTAAATGCTGTTACAATACCTCTACTGTTTTTTTCCTATATAAAAGATAGGCAGTAAAATGTGAATACTTCCCTAGAAATCTCTGTGAATGGACTAATCCCAGTGCATTAATCAACTGAGCTAATCCCTGCTTTGGAAGCTAATTCCTTAGTTATCCGTTATCCTCTAGATTTTATTTTTGTATCTGTCCAATATGTTAATCGACTAATCCCCTGTGCATTAGTCCCAAAGATAATTTCCCATTGTTTGAAATCCTCCATTTATTTTTACTTTTTTAATGGTATATAAAAACAGTTAAAAAGAATATCATAGAGGGAGTTAGCAAGATTCCTGTTCCCCTCGACCAGAACTATTTCCCACGGCTATGCCTCGGGAAATAGTCCTGGCCTCAGGGAACTGGAATCTTGCTAACTCCCTCAATGATATACACTGTACTTAAACTGTATATTAAACTTTTGTTTTAGGTCAAACTAATTATAACAATGCCCAGGCAGTTTACAGTGGTAGAAAGCTAGTATCTTTCAGTGGTGGAGTCTGTGTAGCATATGGGTTGTTCTCTGACATTATTTATCACACAGACAGAAATCGATGGCTGAAAAGAGCAAGATATGTTGGTACGAATTAGCCAAACACTTCAAACGTTATTAGATTATGAAAATATTAATGGTAGTTATGGATTCAGCACTTTTAAAATATACATGTTATGATGCAAATGTACAATTGTGGATTCAAGGAAAGAAAATGAAGATTAACTGATTGTAGTATTTCCTGATTGTTGCATTATTTTACATTTCAGTTGTTCCTATAAATATACTACTCTTCAAAAGACAAAGGCAATTTACTGCAAAAGTCACTGTTTTCCCAAAGTAAGTTGAATTTTTGCTGCTAAACAAGTATGTTATATACTGTAGATTCCTAAATATATGTGTGGAATGAATTATCACATAATTTCGTGAGAAGCACCACATGTGAAATAAAATTACTCACCTTTATTGTTATGGTGCTGAAATCTATGTAAAATCTCCTGATCAACCGTCCATTTGCAAATTATTATTCTCGCGATTTGCTGTTGAAGAGCCCATTCGCAATAATAAGTACTCGCGAAAAATAAGGAATCTACAGTACTGCACATGTATACAGGAATTCTTTTTATACCAACTGTGTAATTTTCTTTTCTTTTTAGCTCATCTGAGCTGAAGGTTCAAGTGAGATTTCCTAAAGAACAGCAGGATATCAAATAATTCTTTTTTAGCTCACCTGAACCAAAGGCTAAAAACTTTGAAAAAGAAATAAAATTCTTTCAAATTAAAAGATATTACGTTCTTTCTCCTATATAATGTAATTCTTTCAAATTAAAAGATATTATGTTCTTTCTCCTATAGGGAGCAGAATACAGACTCCAGTGATGAAGACACAGATGCCACAGGCAGGGAAGAATCAGCTGCAACAGAAGGAAAAGGTGACAGATTTATCATAGGAAAAGGATATTTCAAACAATCATGAATATCAGATTATTCATATCCCGTTAACATTTTCAGACATAGAGGGGAGTTATATAAGCATCGCCTCTTCTGGAGCAAATCAGAACTTTCTTTTCCCCCCATTTGGTGCCTCTCTTGTGTCCCTTATAAAACACCCCTCTGAATTTATGGTAGCACTGTACAGAGAATGTGGAAAGCTGGCTTTTCTAAGTCATTTTACAAGTTGTGCACTTAAAAAACCAGATGCAGTGAGTAACTTGCTATTAAAAGCTGTTAATGAAGAGCTACATCCAAATATCTTTCATCCCAATGATTTGTTCTCCATTCTTTGAAGTATCTTATTTTGTGTACCTGGAATTTTGAAATTATGGTACATGTATGTCTTTTAAGTAAAATTTAAAGACAGGCATTGAAATTTATTTTTCTTTGAATAAGTAAAGATGATACTTGTTTTTTTCAGTGCATGTCTTATTGCTTTAAAACCCAGCACATGTATTGATACTTCCGAAATCTCATCTCTTTAAAACAACAAATTCACAAAAAACCCAAGTATTATCAATGACAACTTTTTAGCTCACCTCACAAAGTCAAGATGAGCTTATGCTCTAAATCTGGCGTTGGTGTTAGCGTTGACGTCCTGGTTAAAGTTTCAGGGGCAGGTCCATTCCCAAGTAACTATAAGCCCTGCCTGTACCAAACTTGCATGGATGATGCATCTAGGGATGGACACTACCAGACTTGTTTCAGATGCTGGATCTGACCTACATTTTCCAGATGATTGAGCAGGTTAAAGTTTCTGGAGCAGGTCCATTCCCAAGTAACTATTAAGCCCTGCCTGTACAAAACTTGCATGGATGATGCATCTAGGGATGGACACCACCAGACTTGTTTCAGATGCTGGATCTGACCTATATTTTCCAGATGAGTGAGCAGGTTAAAGTTTCTGGAGCAGGTCCATTCCCAAGTAACTATAAGCCCTACCTGGACCAAACTTGCATGGATGATGCAGTTAGTGATGGACACTTCATATTTGCTTTAGGTGCTGGATCTGACCTACATTTTCTAGATAAGTGAGCAGGTTAAAGTTTTTGGAGCAGATCCATTACCAAGTAACTATAAACCCTACCTGGACCTAAGCCCTTCCTGGACCAAATTTACAAGGATCATGCATCTAAGGATGGACAATTCCAGACTTGCTTTGAATGTTGGAAATGAAAGACATTTTCTTGATTTCTGAACATTTTAAAAGTTTTTGGAATTCATTCTTTGTTTGGGTCAGGCAGGTTCTTTTTATAATGGTGAATACTCAGTTGATAGACTGCCTGGAGTACAAAGGAATTCGCAATATATCCGTGTTCGTACTAAACGAGTTTTACTGTAATACATATAACATAAATGTATGTATTATAGAAATGAGTTAGAAAAATTATTTTGCAGAAGCAGAGTTTTCAAGTAATTTAATTGGAGTGGCATCTTTTGGGGTTGATTTTCTCAGTGTTGCAACTGATTCAAAGCTGGACTTTGTTAAAGCAACACAGAGCAGCAGAAAAAATGGTGGTTTCTGTCTTTTTATCAACAAACGCACCAGTCGGACCCAATTCTTAACTCATTTTTTCCAGTTAATGACATTGACCAGGTCTGCAGTATGTATTCCCTTTCTTAGGTCACATGAGTTTACTCGGGTAACCTATCGCTATCCGTTTTCATCCGTTTTTGATTGTCGTCCATCATGCGTTAACATTTGAACATTTTCAGCTTCTTCTCTGCAACCACTGAACCAATTTCAACCAATTTTGGCATATACATGTATAAAGTGAAAATGCATTCATTCTTTAAACATCTTCACCTCTTCTCTTAGGTATTAAACCAATAAGCTGTGCATTTTGTGACCATGGGTCAGGGGTTCTTGTGTTTGGTTAGATTTTAATGAGAACATGGTGAAAATGCATTAATCCCTTTTCTCTTCTACTGGGTATTAAGCCATTGAACTTAGTGTATGGTTATAATGAGCAAGGGTGTCTCTTCAAAAATGACAAAGTTCATGTTCCCTGGGTCAGGGATTTTGGTGATAGAGTAGGGCTGTGCTGAATATATAGTGAAATTAAAAATGTTCTCCTCTGCTCTATGGTATTAAAGGAACAAACTTAATGCATAGTTATGGTGAGCAAGGATGCCTTTTCCAAAATTGTGAAAAGCGCTGATTATAAAATGGAAATGCATTATTTCTTTGATTCTCTGCTCTGCCTTTAGGTAATAAGTAATCAAACTATGCATATAGTAATGTGAGCAATGGTGCCTCTTTCAAAAATGTGAATTTCATGCCCTCTAGTTTAGAACACAACCCATTCAATTGTGGGAAAGTTGTTACATGATACTCATTTGTGACCTACTTAAGGTCTTTGGGCCTTTTGTTTATGCAAGTTCATAGATTGGGGTTTGAAATGTATTTTGGTATTTGGTGAAATGAACTTTTTTCTTATTCTATTGTTATATATTTCATTAATTGCTTAAGGTCGAACAGAAATTGTAAAAGTTATTATTTTTTTATCTATCAAAACCTCATCCTCAACAATTATTTAATGCATACTGTAAACCAACTTTTATTTGTGACAACTTTATTTCGGGATTTAACAGGGGTAAAATATTTAGCAACGATTAATTTTCACGATCAGGTCTTTTTTCATCTGTTGTAAATAGACAGACTTGAATTACTGGTTTGCGGCGAGAAGTATTAACGATAACGAAGCTGTCGTTAACTTCGCAAAAATTTCTTACACACAAATAAAAATTGGTTTACAGTATTCTGATTCCTCTGTGATTTTTATTTTTTAGAAGTAAAATATAAAAAAAAAAAAGTGTTGAAATCAAATTAAGCATAATTTATGAATACTTTAAAATACTGATATGAAAAATTATTTAGATGTTGCTCTTCATTTTAATGTGATTTAAAAATTAAAACATAAAATAAAGGATCATTTGCTTTACATGTAAATTAAAATAACATTAATTTTGATAATATATTCTTTATACTTTAGTTTGAGAAGGATTTTTTGAGTACACACTCAGTTAGGGGCTATAAAGTAAAAGTTCTGAGTCATGATGAGTCACCACAGGCAAACTCACAAGAAGCAGAAATCAACAAGTTGGTTGATGTAGATGGAGAACTGATAGAAATTGTAGATGAAGAATATGAAGTTTGGTAAGAGTTTCAACTTAATTTATTTTTAATATTTTTTTATGTTGTAAAATACTTGATCTTGTTGAAGTGCATGATAGAGATCATTATAAATTGTATCCAGTAGCCTCTAGTTGAGAGTCTAGCGGGAATGAGTTAGGTTTGTTCATTATTAACAGTTGGCATTTGTTAGGTAAATTGTATGGAGACATTGATAAAGTCGAAAAGCACCTGTTGAGCAAAAAGGGGGCACCTATAATGAAGTCTGTGTTATCATGTATACTTTACTGTGATCAGTACAATGTATCTCTCTCATCAAAAGCATGGCAATAAAAAGTTGAAATTTTGTCCTTGTTTTTCATTAGGAACCATATGAGGATAATAAAGTTCTACACATGTTTTTGAGAATTGAATGAAAGGAGTTCTGGAGCTATAACAAATAAGTTGGAGCAGCAAGAACTTTGTGACAAAATGGTGGCAAATTGTTTATAATTATTACTTTATGTCACTAATGTCCATTTTCAGAAATACTATACATAAATATTAAATGAACCAATGACTATCCATATACGTGTACAGACTACCTATTCATGTATTTTTCTTCATATAACATTCAGGGAACTTTTATAATATACCCTGCATACTGAGGATAAAAACTTAAACCTTATACCACTATACATATACTGTAAGTCGTTTTAATTCCACGGTGTTAAGATTTCACAATTTCTCAAAAAGTACCAATCGCGATGGTTTTAATTTCACGCTGTTAGAAGTTAATTAAATTTTTGTATAAGCATTTTAAAACGTTTTTATAAAATAAAAACAAATGATGACATTCGCTATTGGTTTAATTTCGCTGAGAAATAGTGAATCGTGAACATAGTGAAATTAAAACCCTCATGTTTATTTGCCCATCTACAGTATACTAAGTATATAGAATGATTTGTAGATGTTAATTGTTGTAATTGTTAATTGTATCTTTAAGTTCATCTTAATGAAGTCTATGGAACTTGTACCATATTCTTGGCATTCGAGTTGATGTCACCAGTTCCATTTTCTGAAGCAGATCTTTATTACATGTATTTGACATGCTAGATGGTGCAGTATGTTTCATTGTACCATTCAAGTTTCAGATTAGAATGAACAATTAAATGGTTTGGAGCAGGCTTCAATTATAGGAGCAGGTCTCATTCCAAAGTAAAAGATCCCCCACTGCTCTTAGGTTGGAGATGTCAAGTAAAAGTCTAAATATGCAGCCCTCTGGTGGCTAGTAGTGGCATCCCAATATGTCAGAATGAAAAGTTTGTGAAGGGATGTTAATCAGATAAGTATAAGCCATTTAGGGATTAATCTTGCATGGATAATGTATCTGAGGGTGCACACTGTCGGATTTTTTCAGTTGCTGCATCTAATATGTATTTTCTGGATGAATGGATGAATAGGTTTAAGTTTTTGGAGCAAGTCCATTCAATTTTCAGTAACTATAAGCCTTGTATAGACAGAACTTGTATAAGTGATGTTTCTGTAGAGATGCACTTTAACAGACTAACTGATTTTGGATTCTAGACTCTTTATGGGATAAGTGACTAGATCAATTTTTTTGAGCAGGTTTTTTATTTCTGAGTAACTATAAACGTTTCTGTGCAAAAAAAGATGCATGTAGGATGCACAGTACTAGATGTGCTTTGTATCCTCTCAAGATCTGACCTAAATTTTCCAAATATGTGAACAGGCTTAAGTTTTTTGAGAAGATTCATTTCAAAGTAGGGAGACTAACATGGGTGATGCACAATACTGTATTGATGCAATACTACTGATGATTTTTGTTGTTGTTGTGATGTTTTGTCTTTTTTTTTATATTGTAAGCTTTTAATCTTTGATTATTTATAATTCAATAATGATTTGACCAAGTCTACCTACACTTAATTCAGGTTTACAAAATGATAATCTCTCAAATTATTTATGTTGATGGTGCTAATTAAGATGTACATTTAATTATGTTTATATAGACTTTTTTATTATAATAAATATATTTTTCTTAGTGTTTATGTTTTCTGCTTTCAGAAAAAAGTTTGTCTAATGAATGAAAGACTATTTTGAGTATTGAAGTTAGATTTGTTGTCAGTTCAGCTAAGCTGAAAACTCATTTGAGCTCTAATCCAGCAACTGTCTGTTAACTTATCACAATATTTTTACTTCTGCTCAAAACCAACTTAATAGCCAATTTTAATCAAATTTGACACAATAAAAAAAAAGAAAAAAAAACCAAACCAAACAAAAAAGAGATACCAAGAGAATGCAAAAATAGGATGGATCCTTGAAAATCTTTACAGAACTCAAGAACCATTTGGCAAAAAAAATTGAAACATGGAGACATTGTGAAGTAGCATAGTTTTTATACCCCCCGCAAACGAAGTTTGGGGGGATGTATAGGAATCACCTTGTCCGTCTAGCTGTCCGTCCGTCTGTCTGTGCGAACGTGTCTGGTCCATATCTTTCTTACAGAGGGACATTAGAATCTACTACTCCACACAATGATTGCCCATGACCTAAGGGTGTGTCATGACCTTGACCCAAGGTCATTTGGGGAACTTCAAGGTCACTGGAAGAAAAATTTCATAATTCGTGTCCAGTCTATATCTTTCTTATGGATAAACTTGGTAGGTTCTCATTTCATGCAAAGATTGCCCATGACCCATGGGTGTGTCATGACCTTGACCCAAGGTCATTTGGGGAACTTCAAGGTCACTGGAAGAAAAATTTCATAATTTGTGTCCGGTCCATATCTTTCTTATGGATAAACTTGGTAATTTCTCATTTCACACAAAGATTGCCCATGACCCAAGGGTGTGTCATTACCTTGACCCAGGGTCATTTGGGGAAGTTTAAGGTCACTGGAAGAAAAATTTCATAATTCATGTGTGATACATATCTTTATTATGGAAAAACTTACTTCTGAAAAACCCAGCGGGGGGTATTTTGTCCTGTTTGGACAGTTCTAGTTTGTTCAAATCTTGGTCTACAGGTGTAGGGTGGGCTACAACAGAGAATCAAGTTTTAACAGTGAAATCTTGTATTACTAGTAATAGGAAAAAATCTTCTTTCTTAAATTCGAATGGACAAGAAATGACGGAACGATGTAAAAGCTTCCAGACATCATGTAGATTCTAAGCTGTTTTAAGGTATAGGATTTTTCTCACTTATGTTCTTATTCGTTTCACTCAAACGAACATAAAACATTTATGAAATAAACACAAACTCGTGAAATAGGATATGAAGCGCTCTGAAAGTGCAGTTTAATTATTTCACACAATACATATAATATCTCTTTGTCCTCATCAATGTCCGAATTCTACAAAATAGAAAATAAATATTTTCAACAAGGTATAAATCTAATATAACATTCAAAACTAAGCAATGGGCGGGTGGGTGGGACTAATAAGACTGCACGAAATAGAGCCTTCGAATGGCTTTCCCTACACAGAATTTCTTTCACGGTCAGTAATAGCCCGTGCTATGAATATTAATGTCACCTGACTAGGTGACCATTCTAACAGCCAATAGATGACAAGAATAAACAAACACAAACACGTGTTTGTGTAACATTAATAAATACGTTTATGTTCTTATTCGTTTCACTCAAACGAACATAAAACATTTATGAAATAAACACAAACTCGTGAAATAGGATATGGAGCGCTCTGAAAGTGCAGTTTAATTATTTCGAAGATAAAGAAGATTAGAACTGAAACGAATATCCTAAATGCCCAAATTCTTAGTAACTGAAAGTTTTTCAATTTGGTTTTCTTTAACATAACCATCTTTAGAATTTTCCGACCTCCACCGCCCATGCTTTTTAAACAGTCTGTCGCTAACACCTGCGGCGGCTGCGGAGGTAGCGCCACCTGATCTCAGACTGTGGACACCAAATTTACACTTGTCTAAACCAATCTTTTCAAGTGAATCCAAAATGATTTCTCTTGCTCTTGTATAAGAAATTGGACGATTATCCGATCTCAGTTTATAAGTTTGGAATTTTTTACAAAATGACAGAGATCTAAACAAGAACAGAGGAGAATGCATGTCAGCGTTTGACAATTTTAAAAACTTTTCCAACATATTTACAGGACAGGTATCACAAAATGTTCTAGCAATACAAACTTTATGACCAGTTTTATAAACATCTGTTTTACTTTTAACAATGTTAATTTCTACACAGTTAGTCTGTATACAGATATCTGAGTAACGAATGTTAACTATTTCTGAAAATCTCAAAAATCCTGCAAAACCTAATAAGCACATACACAATGTTCTTAAATTGTATAAATTTCCATCCTCTCCAAATGTAGAAACCAGAGTTTTCAAATGTTCAGGCGTTATAGGCTCTTCTTTAATCACTGGTTTTGATGTCTCTCTAACTGCCCCTTCCTTAACAGTTTTTACCAAAGCTGAGTCACAAGGATCTATATAACCTGCTAGGCTATGTGCCCAACTGATGGCATGTATAGCTGAATGTATTGTGCCAGACGATTTACATTGTTTTGCTAAATGTATAATATATAGTGCAACGTTGTTTTCCGAAGCAGGAAGTGATTGAATCCCAGGGTTAAAGCTGCTACACCACTTACAAAAGGTATTAAAAGCGTACCTGTACTGTTTTGCTGTATTTTCGGCCTTAGATGTTACACAATATCTGGGTAGTTCAGAAGCAAGTTCCGCTAGACGATGATCCTGTAATCCACAATTAATTCCCGTCCATCTGCCCACTTTAAATATATCTGAAAAATGTGTTTTTTAAAGCAAAAAATTAGCATCTTCTAACTTTAACATATTATATGGTGTATCAGGACCTTCATCATCTGCAATACACCCTCTCTGATGTACCAGGACCACTTGTCATCTGCAATACATCATCTATACATTTGCCCAGCTCGGCAAAAATCTTTGTTTAAAGTGTACCAGGGCCTAAACCATCTGCAATACACCATCATAAACTACAAATTTGTAGCGTCTAAACGTACCACAAGTATTCCAGAGCCAAAATATATAGAACCAAATAGACAGTTCGATCTTGTTCTGACCTTGACTGATTATCTCACTTGTATCTTTAAACAGTAACACATCTTTCACATACGCCTTATAAGACAGTTCTAAATCGAATAACATTGGCCAAAAAACAGCTGAGGGCCAGTTAGGTACAATCAAAATACCATATGCTTTGCAATCTAATAGATGTTTTATAGTAGAAACTATCAAATGAATGGGAGGAACTAGCCAGTTGTTTTCGCCCACCCAATTCTGTGTAAAACAATCTACAGCCTCTGACTCAGGATTCCAAAATTTTGAGTTGTATCTAACAAGTTTACGATTGTTAAAGTTTGCGAATCTATCTACAGAGAAAGGACCAAACATAGAACTAATAAATTCAAAAAATTCATTAGTAACTTCCCAATCATTGATCAATAATTTTACTGAAAAAATCTGCCTTTTCATTTTCTGATCTCGGAACCCATTGAACATCGAGGGAAATTTTGTTTTCGGCACACATTTTGAAAATATTATATGCTAAAACTTGTAAGTGATGCTTCATGCTACCAGAGTGTACTATTTTCGCACAACTTTGATTATCTGTAAACCACTTTACTGTCATATTTTGTAGTTCTTTCTTAAAAGAAGCCAGCGCCAATTCTATGGCCTTCAACTCTCTCCATGTAGAACTCATAGTTTTCTCATGTTCTTTCCACATCAAATGGAACACCTTAGAATTAACTTCAACAGTATATGCACTAGATGCTGAATTACTTGCATCTGAATAAATGATTACGTTTTTTCTTTTAACAGAATGTAAAAATCTTGTACTGTCACAACGCATACATTCTACCCAAAATTTTAGTTCTTCAAACACTTGATCTTTATGCTTGAAAAATAGCTTAGAATCCCATGATTCTTTCAAAGCAATTTCCACAGAAGAAAACCTTGTCATAATATTGCAAATGTTACCCATTACTGGAGTCATAGAAATGATCTTCCCCACTACTCTTGCAAGTTCCCTCGCTGTTACATCGGGAAAATGAATGATAGTTTTCTGTAGACAACAGATAGCATCATCGATTCGTCTGTCCGGAACTGAAATAGAGAATAGATTTGAATTCCATGTTAAACCTAACCATTCAATGACTTGTGTTGGTATAAAATGTGATTTCTCAACATTAACCACCAGACCAACTTCTGACAACGTTTTCTGAATAAATTGAGAATCTAAAAGACATTGGTCCTCAGTAGAAGCGAACGCCAAACCATCATCTTAATATAATACAATCATAATGCCATTTTTTCTCAAGTATTTTACGATGGGTCTTAAGCATTTAGTAAAAATGAATGGAGCTGACGATAGACCAAAAGGGAGAACCGTATAGCAGTAATACTTGTTTTCCCACTGGAATCCTAAATAAGTTTGATAATTCTCAGCTATATCTATGTGATGATACTCGGGTATCCTGATTTCAGATCAAATTTAATACAGTAAAAACCCTTTTCAAAATAATCTAATGCCGTCTTCCAGTCTTCAAATTTAATTTTATCATACTTGACATATTTATTTAGCCTACTTTGATCAAGGATCAATCTCTTTTTGTTTTTGTTTTCGGCGACACTCAGTGGACTACACACAAATGGCTGAAAAGGAACTTCTAAAATACGTTTGTTTTCCATCAAATCTGAAATTTCTGAAGTAACAAATTCAAAATTGTTAATAGCAGACTTGTTATTTTGAAAACACATAGGAGGATTTGAAACGAAAGGAATTTCATATCCAGATTCAATAACTTTCAAAATAAAAGGATTTGTGCCAATTTCTCTCCATTTACTAACATTTCTTTTCAAATTGTACTTTATCAATGACATTTGTTTTGAATTATTTTTCTGAATGCATTTCACCTGGCCAGCAAGAGTAGAATGGCTTGTATAACCTGTATACTTATCATTGACTTTGTGACTTGTTTTTGGGGCAGT